TTTGTATCTTCTGCTCTAATATTAGAAGGACTAAATAGCGACCTATATAGTGACAGGCCAAAAACAAATGGTCTACCCCTTTCTTCAAATGAATATCTGTTTGTTTTCAGACCATAACTTGACAACTACATCAATTATACTTGAGGCCTCATCATGTTGCAAAAATATTTTTATAACAATTAAGGCAGAGAATCATCATGAACTTGAACGCTAATTTTGCTACACCATTAGCTGTTTGGACATGAGCAACTTACTTGATTTCTGTGAGCCTCAGGGCTTTTTTAATGTGTAAAATAGAAATAATAATACATACTTTGCAGAAATGGTTGGAGGATTAGAAATTGTAAGTTAAAGTACCTGGCACAGATGTTTACATTGTAGTAGATAGCTAGGTGGCAGCTCGTATTGCTCAGACTATGTAGGAATGGCCATCACATGTCTCATTTCAGTTCACTCTGAATGATCTTACTAAGGACTTCCTTAATCTTCACTCTGCACACTCAACACAATCAAGAAAACCCATGTGCTCCATCTTTGTATACATGGAGTGTTGATTTCCCTTCCTGTATACCCTGGTGATGCAGAAGGGCTCCTGGAATATTCTTTTGTCTGGCTACGCTTCCACCTTGGGAAAAGTTGGGGTTAAGTCAGAGATGGGCAGGTGCTGGGAAAACTGGCCAGTTGCCCAAAGCTTCTCACCAGCAGACCTAGTCTCACATGTGGTTCAACTGAAGAAAATTGCTTTAGGACATCATTACCTGTACACCTCTCCTCCATTGTTTTAGAAAGCCGTAGGAAATATACTGGAGGAAACTAGTAAAAGTTTACAGTTTTGTGTCTTACTCTGTGCACATATCACTCCTTTTGTGAGCAGGTAAAGTATTAATGTTTCCCATTTACTTAGGTTCTTGGTTATGTAATTCCAATTATATAGGTGAGTTACAGATTTCTTGCTCCTAAGTGTTGTCTCTTTGAGGTAAGAAACAAAACCAGGTTTTAAGATTCGGGTAGCATCCAACAAAAGAAAAACATATTGCCTAAAGCGAGCAAACTGGAAGCTTTCTAGAGTGACTCCCTCTGGACTGCTAGGAAAACAAACAGCAGAGCAAATGTTGCTAATCTTGTTTCTGCTTTGTTCTTCTGGCCATGTAGGGGATAGAGAAGTGAATCTAATGAGGCCAGAAATCCGTTTCCAATCCTACAAGTGATGCATTTAATTTGTCAGGATGTAAATCAGCAGGACCTCTCAGCATGTTTGTGTAGTATAATCCTAACCATAAAATATTCCTCCTCATTTTGCCAAAGCAGTGGTGGACCTTCCTAAGGGCCAGCTCACTGACTTGGCGGCTGAAGCCCCATCATAGTCAAAGCTGGTAAGTCCCACACCCAGACACAACCCCTGACATTCCTTGGGGAGGAAGCAAAGCTTAATTTAGATAATCCCCCCTGCAAAGTTATTAGCTGATCCAAACCAGACCTGACCAACTAAAGGCATGTTGTTGCTGCATTTCAGAGATGCCTTAATGTAGAAATAGCTTCTTGTTGCAAATGGAGGATTAAGATTCATATAAGAAATAACTAGTGATAATCAATAAACTATTTTTTAAAACACAAACAGCTTCTTGCCTGACTTTGACCCTCTCTCTACTTAAATAGCAGGAGCACATTTCTTTATGGCGATAGAAATTGTATGGCAGTGCTCCTCTGATTCCATTGCACATATGAAAATAAACAATAACAATAAACAGAATAGGGAAAGTATGCTATGTATCACAAATGGGTATTTTTTGTTTAAAGAAAGAAAAACCCTTCTTTTTTTAAAGTGGTGTATGGAAGACTATGTCTAGTTTAAGAATAGATGTTCTTAAAAAAAAAAAATAGATGTTCTGCCAATGCTCCATTACACACATTAGGCCCTTAGACAAGCAGACAGACAGCAATTGATAGAAAAATATTCCAGAACCTCATGTGAGATAATTCCGTATTTGAGGGCTCCATGATCAAAAAAGAAAGAGATGTGGCATGGGAGTATAAGATACATGTAAGTTTTTGTCCATGTGAACACAGTAGTGAATTTCCAATTAAAATCTAAATCTCTGAAATTGTAGTAAATACCTATATTACTAGAAAAGGAAATTGCTATAATGATGAAAAAATTAACATTAACAATAAATGATGTGGTTTACACATGTAAGAAAACCTGAGTTTTCTGTTGAAATTAGAATTTAATGAAGGGGGAAAATTCATCAGCAGAAGGCACGAATATGTTTGGTATCAGAAGCCAGATTCCTTTGAGATACTACAAGGCATGGAGAAGCCCCTTCTATTTGATACAGAATGAAGCTCTTTTGAGAGCTTGCACCCTAACTTACTTATACTGATGGAATAGACAGAACAACTTTTAAGCAGTTTACCTTTAAAATATAACATTTCTCTTTTTTTCCCATTTATTTATTTTATTGCATTTTAGGTTTTGGGGTACATGTGAAGAACATGCAAAATTGTTGCATAGGTACACACGTGGCAGTGTGATTTGCTGCCTTCCTCCCCATCACCTACATCTGGCATTTCTCCCCTTGCTATCTCTCCCCAGCTCCCCACCCCCCACCGTCCCTCCCCTATTTCCCCCCAACTGACCCCAGTGTGTAGTGCTCCCCTCCCTGTGTCCATAGTGAGAATTCTATAGTAGGAAATGATACCAGATACTGAATAAAAATCATGATGGGAAGATAAAATCTGAAATGATCCAGAACAAAGGTAGAAAGGTTACCTTTTTAAGAAAGAAAGAAAAGAAAGACAGAAAGACAAGAAAGGCCAGAAAGAAAGAAAGACAAGAAAGACAAGAAAGAGAGAGAGAAAAGAAAGAAAGAAGATAGAAAGAAAGAAAGAAAGGAAAGAAAGAAAGAAAAAGAAAAAGAAAGAGAGAGAGAAAGAGAGAAATAAATATATAAATATGGGAAGGAAAGAAAAAAAGAGAAAGTGACAGAGTACCTGAGTACAAGTAATGCCTAAGGATGGCATTTGTTTTTGTAGTTAGGGAGATTTTTCAGGCCTCCCAGTTTATGTTATGGTATCCTGACAGCTCCAGGGTCAAATACAGACAGAGATAATGCACAGATCAGAAGAGGAAGAACTAAAGAATGCGAATTTATGCTGGCAAATCTTTTAGAGATAAGTTAGGTGGTAACATAACTACTGAGAGATGGCTTCAAACTACCTTAGCTTATACCTGTAAAATGAAATATGCAGTCATTAAGAATATTAGAGAATATTTTATTAATGTGAAATGCTATCTATCTCCAAAGAAATCAGACTTCCAGACTGTGTGTAAGGTATGATAGAACTTTTTGTGAAAATGACATTTATATATAATATGCAGCAAAACCTGTAGCTCTTTCTGCATAAAGCTATGGTTTTTAATTTTCTTGTGTTTTTTGTCCTTCTCCTATAATAAATGTGCTCTTTGTATAATCATAAAACTAAATAACAACTCAGAAAAATAAGAGAAAATTGTCATTGTTTTATTTATCCATGATTCCTGGACAAAAACCTCACAAATAGCATTTTGAAATGTGACTGTAAATGTCGTTCAATTTTGGTGACAAAATTAAACCATGAAGGGATGACCCTAGGTTAAGGGATGGTTGAAGTAAAACATACCTGTTACATACATGTATAGGTCTGGTTACTATGAAATTGCAGTGGAATAAATGGTATATTTCAACAGGTTTCAATTCTAGAACATTTATTCATGCAATCAGGGTCAAGTCCTATCAAGTTTATGTATAGTTATACAGTTAACCCCATGCCACAGTGCAAGGATAAGTAAATGCAACTCTTACAAATATAAGTCGTGCATCATGAGTGACCTCTTTCAGAGTCTAAACCAGCAGCCAGGTTTGTGTTTTTCATGCAGAAATTTAATTGTAATTGTTAGCATTATGCTCTACTTTGAGCATGAAGTTGGTAAATTCTTTTAGTTTGCAGATAGTATGAAGAGGCCATGTGTTATAGTGGAAAGATGAGGACTAGCAAGCTGTGTGACCTTGGACAGGTCACTCCCTTCCACTGAGTCTCTGTTTCCTCACTTTTAAAGAATAGAACTAGCATTCCTCTTAGGTGTCTTACTGGTTTGAAATATGAAGTTCCACCAACTCAATGACATTTAACCACTTTCTATCAGTACAATGGTCTTTACCTCAAAATTATGCAGAGGAACTAAAACTTCTTTAAGCTATCCAAATACCCAGGAGAAATTTAATTTAATACAAGAAACTTGTCCTGTGGAAGTCAGTGTTTTGAATTTTTCATCATCAGTGTTAATGACTTCAGAATAATATAGTCTTTCACTATCCCAGCTCTCAAGATGTCTAAGTTCCAATTCAATCAACTGAAATAATTCATTATTTATAAAACAAACCAGTGTGGTGACATCTATAAAGCTATAAAGAAATTGACTATGTCCAAAGTAAATGGCTTTAAAGGAAAATTAGAAACAAACACTTGATCCGCTCTAGGGGTGAATTATTTTCTAGAAAAAATATACATTTTGCTTCTTTCTAGTACTATCTTTCTGAATTCAGCAACCCTGTAAAAGCCTAATAACTAGCGGGTGGTGTGGGAATTCAAGTGGCACTATTCTCTTCTCTGTTGTTATAGGTTTTGAGTCTGCTGAAAAATGTTAATATTTTGTGTAAATGAATTTAGCCATAGAATCAAATTTTTGTAGATATGGTGAGATTTAAACAACTATTAGAAAAATTGATGCTGAAAGTTATAAAAAGCAAATATTTCAAGAGTATCAGCAACAGTACTAATTTATTATTGACATGCTAGCTGTATTTACCTTAAGCTCTCCTTTCTTTTTATATTAAAATTAATTCAGCTCTGTATTTCATTTTTGTAAACCACCTCGACCTTATTTGTTTAAGAGTTGGCAGAGAGGTGAAGGATATAAATAAGTATACACAAAAACATTTTTGGAATAAAGCAATCCTTACCTGTTTTTCTCATGTATCTTCAAGATTTCATTTGTCTGTTGAAGAAGTTGCTTTTCTAGCTTGTAGGTTGATAATGAATTCTCCAGCAACTGTATCTCAAGTCGAGAAGTTTGATTTAGTACCTTAAGATAAAAGATGAAAATATTTCAAACTTCAATCGCAAATCAAAGAACTTTTTTCAGTTTGTCTTTAAATAATATTTATTCAAAAATAATTAAACAAATGGTTTACATTTTACCAACTAATGTTTTCCATGCCTTTCAGATGTTATTTTGGTTTGAGACTGAGATTGCAATTGAACAAACACATTGAGATTTCAATGTTTGTGCCCTAAAATCCTAGAATATTCTCCTGGGATAGTTGCTTCATATACTTTATCTCCAATATCTGTAAGTGCAAGGTTAGTATTAGTACAAAGTCTTAGATATTGTGGATAATTAAGAATAACTAATAGGCATTTAAAACACCTGCGTTGATCCATCCCCTGATCAAAACAAACAAACAAACAAACAAACAAAAACCGATTAGAAATGTGCAAAAATGTCTTGACATAGTTTAGAAAGACTTATTATCATGCAATAACAGAACGCCTATCCACATTAGGTCATGCTACCCCTTCTGGATACTATGACCACCTCTTGAGGTAGAAATTGTTATCATCACTTTACAAATGAGAAAACTGAGCTTCAGAGGGAAGCCCAAGTTCACACAGGAGCCAAGGGAAGAGTGGACTTTCAAAAACCCAGGTAGTTTTATGCTGATTCTGCTGCACTATTAAAAAAAAAAAATTAAGGAGAGGGAGAATCAAATCATTCTGAGAAAATGAAATGATCCAGAACCCAGATTGTATGAGAGACAGATTGTTCTCATCCTTGCAAATCTACTATTTCTACTCTGGTGATCCTCTAGAACCTGAATTCTCAATTCATCTTGAATCACAGTGATCTATGTGTCTAGCTGGGCCTTATTATGACATGAGTCTGTGAGCTGTGCACCCAAATCTGTCATTCTCAAGGCAAACAATGCATACTCCAGTCCTCACAGATGCCTTCAACTTGTGTCAGTGCCCTGTTCCTGACTCTGTCTTGTCCCTCCCTCTCTCTCTTCCTTAAGGGAGGTATAAAAGGCAAGAAAGAAAATAAGTTAATTTAAAAAGCTCCTCATATTATTTGAAAAATTTTTAAACTGCCACATCTTTCTTAAAACTACTTACTTAAAAAAATTAGAAAAACTTCTGCCAGGTCAATATCAATGTAAAGTTCCTCTAAAAAATGATGCCATTAGAGTCTTCCTCCTTTTTTGTAGCGTCTCTAAGTCTAGGATTATATCAGATGTGCACAGAAAGTCTATTCAAAATATACCAACAGAGTCAGGTGTGGTGACTCATGCCTGTAATCCCAACACTTTGAGAGGCTGTAGCGGGTAGCTTGTTTGAGCTCAGGAGTTCAAGACCAGCCTGGGCAAGATGGCAAAAACCCATTTCTACAAAAACCTACAAAAGTTAGCTGGACATGATGGTGCATGCCTGTAGTCCTAGCTACTCAGGGGGGCTAAGGCAAGAGGATCACTTGAGCCCGGCAGGCAGAGATTGCAGTAAGCCATAATTACACCCACTGCCCTACAGCCTGGGCATCAGAGTGAGACCATATCTCCAAAATAATAATAAATAGAAAATAAAATAAAAAACAAAATACACTGATAGGCCCCGGGCTAGACTAGGGCTACAGGAGCTTGCAAGGGCAGGAGATGTATTTGAAGGGAGCAAGGCAGGAATTAGGCTGAGGTGAGAGAGGCAAATGCCTCAGGTGCAAAATTTAAAGTGGTGCCAGAAAACTCCGTAATCAAGGTAAGTAATATTTTAATGCAACATTTAAAAAAATTTACAATTCATGCAAAAAATCCACATTGAACAGGATATCATTCTAAAATAAAGACAGGATCTGATTCTGCACATGTCTGACTTGGTCTGACATGGCTTCACTGGCTTACCCTATAGTCCTGGCCCTGCAAAGAGTGAAACAGAAAGGCGAGCAGGGGACGGGACAGAGAATGGTGAGATGGAAAGATGCAACTTTCAACAATTAAACATATTATTTTCCAAGTAAGATTTTTATTTGTTTATTGACTGACAATTTATAAAATAATGAAAGAGGGAAGGAAACACTTAAATGTTTTGGTGACATTCGGAACAGTGGCTGGCACAGAGACAACACTCAATATTTGTTTATGGATACTCAATATTTGCTTATGAGGTACATTGCCTCACTAAAGCAAGCATATCACATGCAGTTAAATAAAATCTATTTTCTTTCTTATTCACCATACTCTTTGATCATACTTCCTGACATTCTCAGACACCAAAATTTTTAATTTCCAAAGGACAGTGAGTATTCTCCTCCAGGTCCATTGAGAACAAAATGGAACTATTCAAAATTGAAAATGAAGCTGCCTATATCGAAGTCTGGGGACCACTACAGTTCCCAGTTTGTCTTCCTGCTCCTACTTGCCCTACCCTCAAGTCTGTTTGTCACACAGCAACAAGAGGGATCTTTTTAAACACATAAATCAGATCATGCCATCTCCTTTGCCACATGCTAGTGGCTTCTCCTTGCAATTAGAATGAATTCCAAAGTGCCCAGCCTGGCCTAAAGAGACCCATGTGATCAGAAGAATCCTGTTCACTTCTTTTTATGCTCCAACCACATAGTCTTCTTTCTGCCACCTTGACTAGCCAAATTTATTTCAATCTTGGAAGTTTTGTACCTGCAGTTTCCTCTGCTTGGCATGCCCGCCCCTTCCCAGATGCATGGCTGATTTCTTCTCATCATCTTAGAGAATCCCTTTCTGGCTACCTTCTGTAGGGTAACACCTTCCTCACCCTGCATCACATCACCTTATTTAATTTTCTTTACAGAATCATCACTTTCAAAAACTATCATATCTGTTCACTCATTTCCTCTCTTTCTGCCCCCCTAGGACTTCAGTTACACAAAGGCAGGAAGGCTCATATGGAGTCCTCTAAGCCTCCAGACCTCGCCTGGGGTCCAGCACACTGCAGTGCTCACAGCTGAGTTAGATGACATTCTGGGCAATGGAAAATGAACTGTTTTTCAGGTTTGAGTCATGGTCACAGAAAGGGTAGCAGGGCCGACATGAATATCACATTAGACTTCAATAATGACAGTCCAAATCTAGAGCAGCGTCTGAATACGGGAGAAGGAAGGAGTCCAATATCAGAAGTCCAGGCTAAATGCCTATCTAAAGATCAGGGCAGTTTCGAGCACAAATGCCAATCCCTCCGCTTCCTTCCCCATCACCTTGACCCTATGGCTGCTTTATTTCAACTCTCTCCACTGATGTATTAAACTGGGTCTGAAGTTCAAAAGTGGGCAACCAGGAGAATTGCATAGCAAACTATGATAAATTGACCACTTTCTTGCCATGCATCTATGGAACTTGGTGCTTAGCAATAATAGAAGTGTTCCATTAAAATGACAAAATACATTTCCTTCTTAGCCTAAACACATTCCAAAAGCACATCTTTGGGGAAAAAAAGAAAGTGTTTAAAGAAAGAAGAAGGAAAATGGAGTAAACCTTTGTGGAATATGCCCCTCAAAGAGCAATTTCAAATATTAAATTTTCCAAAATATACGTAACAGTAAGAGAGACATAAAACCTGAAATTGAGGATGTATGAGATACAAAATCTTAGTTCTTTCTTTTTCTAAAATAAATAAATAAATAAAAGCAAACCTTTAAAAATAAAAATTATTAGTTTCCCAGAGAAAGTGAGCTGGAAAATTTCACCCAGCTCTCTTTAGTATATTCAAGAGTGCCCCTGATCCTTTACATTAATATTAATGCTAAAAGATAGAGATTGAGGTAGAAAGACAATCTCTCTCTCTCTCTGTCCTCTCTCTCTCTCTTTTTAAGAGACAGGATCTCACTCTGTTGCCCAGGCTGGAGTACAGTGGCATGATCACAGTCACTGCAGCCTTGACCTCTTGGGCTCCAGTGAGGTGTGCCAGCTAATTTTTTGTACTTTTTTTTTTTTTTTTTGTAAAGACAGGGTTCTGCTATGTTGCCTAGGCTGGTCTAGAATTCCCGAGTTCAAACAATCTGCCCATCTCAGCCTCCCAATCTGCTAGGATTACAGGTGTGAGCCACCATGCCTGGCCAAAAATCTCTTTCAACAGCTCATTACTTTAATATAGTCCTTGTTTGTAGGGTGGTGTTTCATTTTGCTTTTTTTTTTTTTTCAAAGAAAAATGTCTAACATGAAGTATGATGCCTTAGCAATTAATTCTTACAGAGGAATTAAGGTTGATATGTGTAGAAGGAATGAGAGAGTTAGAAAATCCCCATTTTGCAAAATGAATGAAGTAATTTACTTGGTTAGTAATGGGCAATGTGACAAAGTGTTACCTTACAGGTTATCTGTTAATCTCCTAGGGAAAAATGAACTGTTGAGATGCAGTGATATGGAGGTTATGACTCTAACCAAATTAAAGAACAGTATAACTAAGGGAGTGGCAATCCGGCATGTGTGTCTCCTGAAGAGATGCGATAGCAAGTGACCAGTAATTCCACAGAGCACCCCTGCCACAACATTCCACTCAACCTAAAGTCTTTAGATGCAACTTCCAGTTTAAGAAACTATAGGGGACTGAACAGTCAACTAAAGGTCATAATAAAGAAATATTCAGGCAAATGCAGAATGTGAGATGATTTACAAAATAATTAACCTAGTTTCTTAAGAATGTCAAAGGACTTTTCAAGGAAAAAAAGGTGGAAGACTGCTCCAAATTTAAATGGACTATTAAATTGTGTAAAACAAAACTCCTATAAAAGTTTTAGTAGAAAAAATGAATGTAGAAATTTGACAATCTTAGAGGATTACTGTTCATCTTAGTTGTAATATATAACTAATATTATATAACTATATTTTTATTTATATTATATATAAATATATTTCATTTCTAATAGTAATCCCCTCATTTATATATATATATACATATATATATTTATAACATAATATAACCCTATATTATATTTATAATGTAATAACCACCTCATTTGGTTACAGAGTTTAATAGAAAATACTTATGTTACAGACACAGAAT